AGGGCTAGAGGAGGGGTGGGCGGGGCTTGTCTGGGGTGGGAGGGGTTTGTCTGGGCAGGGCGGGAATAACGAGACATACCCTCCCTTGCCACCCTGGGCAGGTCGCCTGAACGTGAAGAATGAGGAGCTGGAGGCCATGATTAAAGAAGCCAGTGGCCCCATCAACTTCACCGTCTTCCTCACCATGTTTGGGGAGAAGCTCAAGGGTGAGTCACCCCCCCCCCGTCCTAGTTGGTACGTCCTCCTCTCCCTGCATCTTCCTTCCCCTTGGTACATTCCTGTATCTCCCCATCATTATGTGGCCTTTGGTACATCCATCTCCCCTCATTCTGCTCCCCTTTGGTTTGCCTCATCCCCCACCCTTTCCCCTACAGACATCCCTATCTGCCCCCCATCGTGTTCCCCTTTGGGACATCCCCATGCTCCCCCCTGCCTTGCCATCTCTGTCCCCCTCATCTCCCTCCCCAACTTCCACCCCCATCCTTTGCCACATCCCGATCCTGTTACCCATTGGTACATCCCATCCCTCCAGCCACAACCTCACTGGTACATCCCACCCACTCCCCATTGGTGCACCCCAACCATTACATTGGTACGTCCTATCCTCACATTGCATCCCAATGTGTATGTCCCATCACCACCTCATTCTATCCCCCAATGGTACATCCCACCCCATTCGTATCCCCAATGGTACATCCCACCCCCCCCATTCACACCCCCGATTGTACATTCCATCCCTTAGTCTTACCCCCATTGGTACAGCCTATCCCCCCAGTCACACCCCATTGGTATGTCCCATCCCCCCAATTCTCACCCTCTCCGATCCCCAGGTGCTGACCCTGAGGACGTGATCATGGGGGCGTTCAAGATCCTGGACCCTGACGGCAAAGGATCCATCAAGAAGCAGTTGTGAGTATCCCTGCCCCTGCAGGGGGCCCTAGGGGAACATTGGGGTCTCCCCAGCAAGAGATGCAAGGAGTGGGCACGGTGGGGGGAGGTCTGCCCAGCAGTGGACGGGCACGGGGGTCTGACCAGCAGAAGTTGGTAGGGGTAGGCATGGGGGGTTCTGGCCAGCAGGAGGCACTAGAGGTAGGTGTGGGGTCTCCCTGGCAGAGGGTGCAGGCCTGGGGGTCCCAGGGTGCTGGGGAGACTCCAGAAATCAGGGGGTCTCCCCAGAATTTGGGTATCTAATTGCCACTCTCTGTCTTCCCCCATCACAGCCTGGAAGAACTTCTGACCACCCAGTGCGACAGATTCACCCCGGAAGAGGTGAGATATTTGGGGGTGACACCTTGAACCCCAATATAAACCCCATCCCTCCAGATCACCCCATCCAATCTGATCGCTCCCACAGTGCAAGTGAAGGAGGGGTCTGGTATTGCGGGGCAAAGACCCTACCTTTGGGGGTGGGATTACCCCAATTTTAACTCCCCTCTTGCTCCTCTCTCTCCCCCTGCCCAGATCAAGAACATGTGGGCAGCTTTTCCTCCAGATGTGGGTGGCAACGTGGACTACAAGAACATCTGCTACGTCATTACACACGGTGAAGACAAAGAAGGAGAGTAAATCCATCAGGCCTCCCCCAATTCCCCTGCCCGCCATCTAGGGGGCTGGCACTGTGGGATCCCATCCACCCACACCCCCCAGGTCCGGGGCATCTCCCCCACGACACCAAATCATCCGTTTTGGACCCCCCATCCCCCGCTGCAGACACTGGTCTTATTTATTGTGATTTTGGGGTGGGGAGCTGGGTCCCACAACCCTCCCCTTCCTCACCCTGCAGCCAGAGTCTTAAGGAACTGGTCAGGGCCCGTATCAGGAATTGAGAAAAAAATGTTGCAATAAAGCTGAGAAAACCTGTTTTTAACTCTCCTGGTGTCCTAGTCTGTCCTGCTGTAGCTGCTTCTGGGGTGGGGCACAAGGGATCAAGGTGGGCTAATGAAGTGGCAGTGGTTGAAACCCTGGTCCCACTGAAGTCTGTAGGGCTGTGTTTACACCACAAGCTTTGTGCGCAAAAAACCTCAAGCGCGTGTTCGCACAAGAAAATCTACAGTCAGGACAGAGGGCTTTGTGCGGTGTAGTAAACCTCCTTCTGTGGGGCACAACTCCTTCATGCGCCACAGCTCTTGTGCAAAAAAGCAGGCGTGGACGCTCCTCAGGGGTTTCTCGTGCAAAAAGAGCCTATCCGAAAAAGCACAGGTGCTCTGACGGCCATTCTGTGCATGGTCACCAGAGCTTTCTTGCACAAGAGTGTCCGTGCAGCGTGGACACGCTCTTGCACAAAAGCACATTGCAAAAGTGATGTGCTTTGAAGTCTGGACACGCTTTTGCACGAGAAGTTTCTGCGCAAGAACTCTTCCGCAAAAGGCTTCTTGCGCAAAAACCCTGCAGTGTAGACAGAGCCTAGGGCTGCGTCCAGACTGGCAGGATTTTGCGGAAATACTTTTAACGGAAAAACTTTTCTGTTAAAAGTATTTCCGCAAAAGCGCATCTAGATTGGCACGGATGCTTGTGCCCAAAAAGTGCTTTTGCGGAAAAGCATCCGTGGCCAGTCTAGACGCCATTTTAGCCATCGGGGCTTTTTTGCGCAAAACAGTTCTTCCCTGTCTACTTGCGCAAGGGGGCTTTTTCCCGAGCGGGAGTGTGAAAGTATTTGCGCATTACATTACATTACAAAGTCAGTGCTTTTGCGCAAAATCTTGCCAGTTTAGACGCATCCTAGGGCTGTGTCTACACTGGCAAGTTATTCCGGAAAATCAGCCGCTTTTCCAGAAAAACTTGCCAGCTGTCTACACTGGCTGCTTGAATTTCCGGACAAGCACTGACGATCTCATGTAAAATCATCAGTGCTTTTCCAGAAAAACTATGCTGCTCCTGTTCGGGCAAAAGTCTTTTTCCGGAAAACTGTTCCGGAAAAGGGCCAGTGTAGACAGCACAGTAGTGTTTTCCGCGAAAAAGCCCCAATCGCAAAAATGACGATCGGGGATTTTTTGCGGAAAAGCGTGTCTAGATTGGCCACGGATGCTTTTCCGGAAAAAGTGCTTTTCCGGAAAAGCGTCCTGTCAATCTGGACGCGCTTTTCCGGAAATACTTCTAACGGAAAACCTTTTCCGTTACAAGCATTTCCGGAAAATCATGCCAGTGTAGACGTAGCCTAGATGTTTTCCTATAACTTCTGGATGTCACAGCAGGTTTTGATGTGAAGAAATTAGGTATGTTTGTCTGTTAACCTATGGAATGCTCTGCCACATGATTTCATGGAGTTACAATTTCACATGGGGCTAAGGAAATTTGGATCTGATACTTCTTAGGACTGATTCAAGAATGTAAACTCAAGATAGCACATTTCTGAGGAAAGATGTAAAATGATTTTAACCATTAAGTTGTGGAACACACTGTGCCACGTGATTTTAGGAAGCTAAAACATCCCATGCTGCTTTTGAAAATTTAGCATGTGATGGCTCTTCAGGAAAAATTCAAGTGCACAAATCAAAACAGCACCTCTTGGAGGGAACATACGAAATAAATGTATCAGTTAACCTCTGGAACTCCCAGACACATGATTTTGACACATGGCTGAGAAAATTTAGCATCTTAGGACAGAATCGCATTGGGAAAATAAAGGTAGCACATTTCTGAAGGAAGGCAAATTCAATCAGTAGTCAGTGGAACTCCCCACCACATGAGTTTACAAAGCTAAAATTTTACTCCCAGTTCAGGAAATTTAGTAACTGAGGGTGCTTAGGAGAGATTCAAGGTGAGAAACTCAAGACAGCATATGGTAAGTGGAAGACAAGAGATACCTGTATCTGCTAATCTATGAAACGCCCTGACCCATGATTTCACTGGGCTACAACTCCACACTCTTATCTTGAAAACAGAGGCTCATGGTCTTAGAAGGCAAAATCTTTTGGGGCCGGATTCTCCCGACAGATTTTGAGGGAAAAATCCACGGCTTGGGCCGACTGGGTGAGGCATCCCAGAGAAAGGACGTCTATACATGGGCCGAAGAATTGGGAGACATTCTCCTCCGAGATGCCCCCGCTGGCTTCCACCATCACCCGGGGGTGGGCGTCTTTCAGCGCGCGGGCGGCAGAATGCAAGTCCTAGAGGGAAGAGGATCAGGGTTATCAGGGAGAGGTCTGGGGGGTCCTGCCGCCCCATCTGGTAGCCCCCAAGCCCCCAGGTACCTCTGGGGAGAAGTTATCGAGCATGACGATATCAGAGCCGGCCTCTGCGGCTTCCAGCTGCCCTCCCACAGACCGGAGTGGGTCCCAGGCGTCCAGAGCCGTGACCCCCATCGCTGCCCTCCCACAGACCGGAGTGGGTCCCAGGCGTCCAGAGCCGTGACCCCCATCGCTGCCCTCCCACAGACCGGAGTGGGTCCCAGGCGTCCAGAGCCGTGACCCCCATCGCTGCCCTCCCACAGACCGGAGTGGGTCCCAGGCGTCCAGAGCCGTGACCCCCATCGCTGCCCTCCCACAGACCGGAGTGGGTCCCAGGCGTCCAGAGCCGTGACCCCCATCGCTGCCCTCCCACAGACCGGAGTGGGTCCCAGGCGTCCAGAGCCGTGACCCCCATCGCTGCCCTCCCACAGACCGGAGTGGGTCCCAGGCGTCCAGAGCCGTGACCCCCATCGCTGCCCTCCCACAGACCGGAGTGGGTCCCAGGCGTCCAGAGCCGTGACCCCCATCGCTGCCCTCCCACAGACCGGAGTGGGTCCCAGGCGTCCAGAGCCGTGACCCCCATCGCTGCCCTCCCACAGACCGGAGTGGGTCCCAGGCGTCCAGAGCCGTGACCCCCATCGCTGCCCTCCCACAGACCGGAGTGGGTCCCAGGCGTCCAGAGCCGTGACCCCCATCGCTGCCCTCCCACAGACCGGAGTGGGTCCCAGGCGTCCAGAGCCGTGACCCCCATCGCTGCCCTCCCACAGACCGGAGTGGGTCCCAGGCGTCCAGAGCCGTGACCCCCATCGCTGCCCTCCCACAGACCGGAGTGGGTCCCAGGCGTCCAGAGCCGTGACCCCCATCGCTGCCCTCCCACAGACCGGAGTGGGTCCCAGGCGTCCAGAGCCGTGACCCCCATCGCTGCCCTCCCACAGACCGGAGTGGGTCCCAGGCGTCCAGAGCCGTGACCCCCATCGCTGCCCTCCCACAGACCGGAGTGGGTCCCAGGCGTCCAGAGCCGTGACCCCCATCGCTGCCCTCCCACAGACCGGAGTGGGTCCCAGGCGTCCAGAGCCGTGACCCCCATCGCTGCCCTCCCACAGACCGGAGTGGGTCCCAGGCGTCCAGAGCCGTGACCCCCATCGCTGCCCTCCCACAGACCGGAGTGGGTCCCAGGCGTCCAGAGCCGTGACCCCCATCGCTGCCCTCCCACAGACCGGAGTGGGTCCCAGGCGTCCAGAGCCGTGACCCCCATCGCTACCCTCCCACAGACCGGAGTGGGTCCCAGGTGTCCAAGATCACTCCCCTGGGAGCCCCATAGAAACCAGGATGGGGAAGGGGACCCAGGCATCCAGGTGGGAGGCCCGCCCCCAGCATGCCCAGAGGTGGGGATAGGATCCAGGCGTCTGCAGGTGGGTCCCAGGTGTCCAAGATCACTCCCCTGGGAGCCCCATAGAAACCAGGATGGGGAAGGGGACCCAGGCATCCAGGTGGGAGGCCCGCCCCCAGCATGCCCAGAGGTGGGGATAGGATCCAGGCGTCTGCAGAGACGGGGAGGGGGACTGGGGCCTGCCCCCTTACCTGAGCAATCCCTCCCGCAGCCCAGACGTGGTTGTCCTTCAGCATGACGAGGCTCCCCAGGTCGTAGCGGTGGCCCGA